GCAAGGATTTGAATTAGTTGTATCTTGTCCAAGAGCTGGGCAACACACAAATTTAATGAGCGATAAGCATGGGGATAGAAATATGTAAGATACATATTAGGACTAGAATATAAAAGATTAGATAATCTGTTGAATATTCATAGTAAATGAGAGGATAGCCTAAGAGATGATTCCAACATTCTGTGCTTGAGTTACTGTGAGGAGAAGAGTTGTGTTAAATAACAAAAATAGGGAATAAAGACACTTAGAGGGGAAAATGAGTTCAAGTTTTGTATATAATGAGAATGACATGTATTGGTAGCCATGTGCAGCAGCCAGTCAGAAATAAGAACCTTGAGTTAAGGAGAAAGTAGATATTAATAGAAAGACTAGAAAGAGAGTGACTTGAGAATCATCTGGAAAAAGAGGTGAAAATTAAACTTGTAAAAAATACATAATTCCAGAAAAAGAAAATATTGAAAAAGAAAAGAATGGACCTATAAAAAGAACTTGCAGCATATGTGCATGCTGGTGGTAAAGAGAAGAGAAGCTACTGAAGAAGACAGGAGAAATCTCAAGACAGGCAGAAAAAAAGTCAGACTAGTACAGAGGCATATGACCATTATAGGGGAAATTTTCAAAGAGATGGTGGCCCATATTATCAAGGAAAGGCATTAAGGATTATGAAGAATGAAAAAAGGCCAATAGCAGTTCATCAAAGTAATTAAGGTCAAGCTAGATTGCAAATGTGTTACAAAGCGAATGAAAACTGATGCAATTTAGAAAACAGACTGATTTTCAGAGTGGTATTCAGGGTACTGCATTTTAGATATTACTAATATTTAGGGTGGAATGTTAATTTAAGATGTGTCTGCAATACAATGTGATTTTGATAAAACATGTAGAAGAGTACCTGACACTTTTGTTCTCCAGCATTTATTCATCTTTCTTTTGGTATTCATCTTTCATTTTCTGTCTAAAGAATTCCTTGTCTACCAAGTGGGTTAGTTTAGGAGTAAAGCTGGTGACTTGTGAAAGTTTAGCCCTGGACCCTGTGACTGACAGATAGGCATATCAACTAACTGTGAATTCACACCAAGAATACCACCTTCAAGCCTGTTATATGAAAAAAAAAAATTAGAAAAATTCCAAATAGTCCTAATTGAGCCAACCTGTAACATATTAAGCTGTAACAATGAAGAGAAAAAAGGTGCCTAAACAAAATTCCAATGAATGAAATCAAAGAACTAAACAAAGTGATATTCCATGTTCATGGATAAAGACTCAATATTGTCGTGAGGTCAATTCTTCCCAAATTGATCTTCAATTTCAGTCAAAATCCAAGCAAGTTTTTTTTTTTTTTTTTTTTTTTTTTTTTTGTGGATATGGAAAAACTGATTGTAAAGTTTTTATGAAGAGACAAAAAATCCAGAATGGTCAATACAATATGGAAGAAGAAAAAAGTTGGAAGATTAACACTATCTGACTTGAATATTTACTGCAAAGCTACAGTTATCAAGACTGTGGTATTTGCAAAAGAGACAAATCCATCAGTGGAACAGACTAGAGAGCTCAGAAATAGACCACACAAATATACAAAAGAACAAGGCAAAAAGGAGAAAAGATAGTCTTTTCTAGAAATGGTGCTGGAATAATTGAATAACTATGTTTTAAAAAATGAATCTATACATAGACGTTATGTCCTTTACAAAAATGAATTCAGAATGTATCACAAACATAAACATAAAGCACAAAGCTATCAAACTTCAACAAGGAAATTTAGGAGAAAATCCAGATGACTTTGGATTTTGCAATGATTTTTTAGATATAATATTAAAAGTGTAATACTAGAAAAAAAGAATTGATAAGCTGGAGTTCCTTAAAATTAAAAACTTGTGCTTTGTAAAAGACACTGCTAAGAGAATGAAAAGACACACAACATAGAATGGCAGAACATATTTGCAAATACATATTTGATAAAGAACTGTTATCCAAAATATACAAAGAACTCTTAAAACTCAATAATAAGAAAAAAACCCCAATTAAAAATAGTCAAAAGATTTGAAGAGACACTTCACCAAAGGAGATACACAGATGGCAAATAAACATGACAAGATGCTCAACATTATATATCTTTAGGGAGTTGCAAACTAAAACAACAACGAGAGAACACTTCAGACCTACCAGAATGGCAAAAGTCCAAAATACCTACAATGCTCAATGCTGGTTGGGAGGTGGAACAGCAGAAACTCTTATTCATTGTTGGTGGGAATACAAAATAGTACAACTACTTTGGAAAACAGTGTGGCAGTTTTTTACAAAGCTAAACATAATCTTACCATATGATCCAGTAATTGTGCTCCTTGGTATTTACACACCTGAAAACTTAAAAACTTATCTTCACACAAAAACCTGTTCATGGATGTTTATAGTCGCTTTATTCATAATCGCCAAAACATGGAAGCGACTCAGATGTTCTTCAGTAGGTGCATGGACAAATGAAATGTGGTAGAACCAGACAATAAAATTTTATTCTACACTAAAAAAAAAAAAAAGAGCTACATATACATGACAAGATATAGAGAAACCTAGATGCATCTTAATACATGAAAGAAGCCAATCTAAAAAGCTATATACTGTATGATTTCAACTACATAACATTCTGGTAAAAGCAAAACTATGTACACAGTAAAAAGATCAGTTGCTAAGGGTTAAAGGAGAGGGAGGGATGAATAAGTAAAACACAGAGGACTTTTTAAGGCAGTGAAATTATTCTGTATAATACTACACTGGTTGACAAATGTCATCATACATTTGTCAAAACCCATATTATGTACAACACCAAGAATGAACCCTCATGTAAACTATGGACTTTGGGTGATAATAACGTGTCAATGTAGGTTCATCAGCTGTAACAAATGTACCACTCTATTATAGGACATTGACAGTAGGGGAGGCTGTGAATGTGTGGAGGTAGAGGGTATATGGGAAATCTCCGCATCTTCTGCTCTGTTTTCGCTGTGAACTTAAAACTGTTCTAAAACATAAATTTTATTTTTTAGTAAAAGTTTTCTAAGGTCAACATAGGCAATACTGAAAAACAGCATTTTAAAAATCAGTTATAAAATAACTTGTAAGAGTTAAGGACATGCCTCATAATTGTCCAATAATGTTGAAACCCTTCAATCATGAATACATTTAAAACAAAAATGATAAATCACTTTGGCAACACCCAGTAGAATAAGCTTGACTGGCTAAATAAAGTGACCATCTTTTCATCATTTTCAAATGCCTCTCCATCATGACATTATTGGTAGGGAATGCAGCAAGAAAGAGAGGAGGGAAAGAAACTAGTGTGATAAAAAAAGAAATGCTACAGAAATGGGGTTTATAGATGAAATAAAAGAAAAAAAAGGTCATAGGGAAGATGTGTTAACAAGAGAGAGTGAACCCCAAAAAAGTTGGCACTATTAATGAACACGCCATTGACATTTTCCCAATTAATAAATGGTTCCATTAACTTCTTCTAATGAAAGTATGTTTTTCTAAAAAAAAAGAGTCGTAAGAAAAAAAAAAACTGTCATAGTAACTGAGAAAATACTGTGCAATTTTTTTGTACAGAAATGGTGGTTTAATGAACAATGTTCCGAAACACTTTTCAAAAATTATATATATAATTAGATGTTCTGTAGTTGTCAGGCACTGAGGACACCTGAAAAAAAAAAGAAGGAAAATGCACCATATTTATTCAGTGTCAGTGAATATGACACTTCAATGATGTAACACTGTTATCTAAAATACTGTTATCTTCGCAGCCTATTTCAGATAACAGTATTACTTCTTTGAGGTATCATACCGAAGACTAATGAAATATCAAAACAACAAGGTGAACAGTGAGCTATTCGGGTAGAGTGGAACATAGAATGGCTGGAGTGTCTACACATGAATTCAGTGCTTTTGACTTTGTGTATGTGTACATGGTAGCAAAAGTAGCAGAAAACTACCAGTTAGGGGTTCAAGTAAACCTGAAAAGCATTTGGATAGTGTAACTTTATTCTTGTGGGGGTTACCAGCTTTTTGATAAAAGGTCACCAATAGTCATCATCCAGCCCAATTCCACAACCTATTTTCAATCCTGCCCATTGTCATTATTCTGAAGAACTGGCACCAACAATTATCCTCTCCTGTAGAAACCCTCTCATCTTGAGATTTTTGGCATTACCATTCTTTTCCTACTTTTGCTGAATTCTTGTTAATCCTCTTACTCCTTCAGATTTCCTATGATGTAAAATATGTAACTGTGGGTGTGCCTCAAGACTTGGGGGAAAGAACACTAATTATACATAAGACATTTTCTAATCCTTTTCTGTCACTACACTCATTTCTTCACATAATTTCAGCTATCATTTTTATGGTAATTAATATAAAGCAACATCTGAAGGATCAGACCTCTCAATCAAGGAATATAATCCAGAACTTTATTCCACAAGATATCTTTAAATTAAAATTTTACTGTTATCTTGATCGCATATTTAAAATAAAACTCTTTATTGTAATTTTGCTTCACTTTCATCTTCCATTTGTACTTCTCTTTTCCTGGATATTTTTGTAAAGGTTTCATTTCTCCTTTTCCTCTCTTAACCTTTCAATAATGACGATCCAATTTAGCCTCAAACCCTTACCCTAATGCTTATGTACGGTAACTTAAATGTGATCCTGCTAGATGATTTAATATTTGGTTTTATATTGTCCTCTCATTGTTTAATGTATATACTATTCCCTTTTTAACTGACCTGCAAACTTTTCATAAGTGTAATATCTTTTGTATCATATATAACTCTCAAAACTATAAGCATTTGTAAAATTCTTAGTTATTGACTGAGGAGCTGAAAAAAAAAACACTAATGATAAAAATCAATTTTCTTTTTCCTGTCATCTGTTGTTACAGAATTATATATGCAAAGCCAATGCGTATATCTCAATTTTCTATCGAAATCACTGTGAGTCTTAGATTTACTTGCCTTGTCCTCCAAGTGCAGTTCTAAGAAGCGTAGATAGGCCACAGGTGCAAATGCATCAGCTGAATGCATGACTACTTCTGACGAATCCCTGAAATACAAGAATTTTATAATACATTTATCTGCTACAAAAATTGTGACAAATCACTCCTACTGACTAGAAGAGACTGAACATTCTTGTTATATATTTATTTCCATTGGTATACAACATGTAGTGATTAATAAATATTTTTAATAATCCAATATTTCACTGGGAAAAGGTTCAAGTACACTAAGCTTTTAAGAAAAAACAATGAGGCTTTCTATCTTCATAAGAACATAAGAGTTCAACTTTCAGGTTCACTCAAAGCTCTCTGAACAATTTTAAGACTTAAATTCCTGTTCAATTTCATTTTCACATATTTGCTTGGCATAGGCTAAGCATTAAACATTAGTGCTTTATCTTCATTATTCTTTTCATTTTCAAGAGGTAATTCATTCAATGTTTCACACAAAGTCTCAATTATCCTTCACAAAAGCAGTACTGGTGATGGTTTTAAGCTCTAGATGAACTCTTCACACTGCAGTATCATTGCTATTAAAATTGATTGTCTGACATAGTAATTACCACATTCAGGTAAAATGGTATGAACTGCATGCTGGCACCATATGGATACATGCAAATTAACTTGATTTTTATCAAAGATACCCTGTAAAGCACATATGAATAACTAAGATTACGTGTAAAGTTCTAATAACTAATTATTTTTTATTATTTATTGAGAGTAATAATGTTTTGAACTTCAACTGAAAATTTAAAAATAGAAATTCCTCATATCACTTTAATGCCTTGGGAAGTACTTCTGTTGTTTATTTTAATAGTTAGCCTTTTGATCATTATAGTACAGCAAAATAAATCCTGACATTGACTTTTTGTCGCTAATGTAAAAATATTTTTGAATCGACTGGTGTCATGTAAAGTTACTCGGTGGCAATAGAAGAAATCTCAAAATATTTGGATCCAAATTATTAAACTTTCATAAGCAAAATGTTTACTTTCCACTTGAAAGATCAAGAAAAAAGTACATTTGATGATAAGAAACCCCAATTATCAGTCATGAACCTTTAGTATCAAATACGTATCTTTCTACTGCTTAGAAAAAATAACATTAAAAAGGTTTCCATGACATTAAAAGGAAAGCAACTTATAACAGACATAGAATCATTAAAGATTCAGCATCCTGATGGAAACATATAATTTGCCTTCACAGTCTACATCAACCAAAGATGCCTCCAGGTATGATGAGGAGGAGCAGCACAAAGAGGAAGTACAGACAAGGCACTCCTGCTTGCTACCACCTGCCCCTCTGGCTTGACCCCAACTTGGTTTGTTAGCCCTAGTCTTACCATTTTTCCATTTCCTCCACAGTTGCCTGCTCTGGTCCTATCTTGGCTCTTGAATCAAACCTCAATTCCTATTATACAATCTTACTCTTAAATTAAATGCCAATATATCTGTTCCAGACCTTAGCCTTGGACATTGACCCTGAGCCTTAACTATGTCTAATTCAGGCAGCTTGGTTTTGATATTCTTGACAATGGGGTGTGCCAAAACTATAATTAATCTGAACTAATACTATCTCAGTAGAAAGGGTTTTAGGTCCTCCCTTCTCACGTCAGTTATCCCCACTAGAAACAGAGGGATGACGGCAAATAGCTTAAATGATCTGAAGCAGGATTATTATCCAGAGAGAATATATGACATTCTGAGCACTAAACAAAGACGACTGTGGTTTTTATAAATTCTATTAAATTCATAATCTCTAATTGACTAACGTCATTTCATTCACTTATACAAAGCAAGAGTCAACCAGGAGAGACTAGATTTCAAATGAACAGCTTTTAGTTTCAAGCAGAATAATACCACTCACAATTGCTCTCAATGATACTCAAACTTCAAGGAACTCTGGTCTTTGCTTCATGGATTTCTCTGAATCCTGAAAGCAGAATCTGTCAGAATATCCTCAGATTAATCCAGAAAACTAAGACAATTGTGCCACAGCAAAAATGCTTCCCAGCTGGCTGTCCTCCTTTCCTTTCTCCATTAGTCAGTGCAGCAGTTACCACCTGTCATATAGGTAGGTCTTTTCCACAGCCAAGAGCAGGCCTATGTTCTCTTTCATCACTACACTAGGCTCACCCATACTTAACAACATTAAATGGGCAGCTGGGTTTGACTTGGGCCTCTCCTCCTTGATACCAGCCTCCTGAGATGTGGGGTCGGGCCCTGCCTCTCACCTCAAAAACAAAAAAAATGGTATTCCCTCTTGAGACTCAGCCATGGTCTTTGTCCCCACCTCTCCTCTCAAAGGACAACTATGCTAGGCTGGGACTGAACCACTGTTTACCTCTCTTGCTCAAACATATGGTTTCTGTATTCACTAAAAGGTATACAGATATCCCCGATGGACTCACACTTATCCTCAGACATCTCAAATGTTATTTCCATGAAGCCTTCCCTGACATCCTCAGACACTGCTAGTTTTCTCCTTTATGTGCTTAGTATCCCATTTATAGCCCTTTCATAACACATCCACTACATTATAATTACATGTGTGTGTGCCTTTCTTCTGAGAGAGGAACCAGTTTTGTTCATCTTGGTCTGCCTGATCCTGTTCTACCCCACTCGGAGCTCTGTATAAAGTATACTGTCTAATATTCATTAGATATTTGTTGAATAAATGAACGTACAGTTAAACTTTGTTAACTATCCTCACAATTGCACACTAATTAGTGAAACTATCAGAAACTCACGATGATTTTTCAATTATCTATCTTCATGTGAATATAGTCATGCACCACATAATGCTATTTTTGGTTAAAGGCCAACTGGGTATTACGGTGGTGCCATAAGATTATAATGGAGCGGAAAAATTCCTATCACCTAGTGACATCATAGCTGTCACATTGTTGTAGTACAATTTTATTTTTAAAAGGAATTTAGTGTAGCCTAAGTGTACAGTGCTTTTCAAGTCTACAGTAGTGTACAGTAATGTCCTAGGTCTTCACAGTCACTCACCACTCACTCACTGACTTACCCAGAGCAACTTCCAGTCCTGTAAGCTCCATTCATGTTAACTGCCCTATACAGCTGTACCATTTAAAAATGTTTTCATATGATATTTTTACTATACCTTTTCTATGCTTAGATACATTTAAATATACAAATATTTACCACTGTGTTACAGTTATTCAGTCTCCAGTACAGTAATATGGTGTCCAGGTTTGTAGTCTAGGAGCATATAGCCTAGGTGTGTAGTAGGCTATACCATCTATATTTGTGTAAGTACACTCTGGTGCTTGTGAAATGACAAAATTGCCTAACAATGCATTTATCAGAACGTTTCCACATTGTTAAGTGTCTCATGACTGTACACACTTTCTCATACATGCATACTGCATATATAAACATATTCATATATGCACATATATATATATATACCAATAACACTATATGATATCTCTACCATAATAAAAATAAAGATTAGTAGGACTGAAAATTTAAATATAAGGAAAATAGCTCATAAATGTAAATAAATTCTCAGATGATACACAATCAGTGTAAGAAAGCAAATAAGATAAAGTACTTGCTTTATTCTCATTTTGAAACTCTGCATTACTGTGTTCTGTACTGAGTTACGCTTTGAGGGGCAGAAAATACGAGTAGATGGAGATGAAAATGAGGATAAAGTGTTTTAACCATAGGATTTGGTTCTTCCTTTCTTCTTTTTTCATTCTTATTCTTCCATCCATCCATCCATCCATCCATCCATCCATCCATCCATCCATCCATCATCTATCCATCCCATTTATGTGGCAACTTTGCAGCAGTAATACAGTGATATTGATGAATAAAATAGAACTATAGAATTGTCTCAAATACTGACATAAAAACATATACACAAACCAAGAGAAGAAAATGATTACTTTCATTAACAGAACCTTAAGACTTTAGTTATTAATATACATATATATGTAAACTAAGTAATAAGAGAGCAGGTTTCTAATTTGAGGACCTACAATTATCCTTTTCTCTTAAAAGTTAGGCTATAATTCTTCTCAGGAGGGCTTCTCAGGGAAAAAGCTCATTTTCTCATCTCATAATTTGTATCTAGAGGTGAATGACTTCATATATTAATGGACACAAAAAGTGACTTGTAAATTGTTCTAGGTAAAAATATAAAAAATTATTTCCAGACAAAGGCTGTTATACTAGTCTTTCCTAAAAACATTTTAAAATGTTAATTGGAATTTGGGCAAAAAGTATCTCATAATAAACTTCAATTTATTTATTATTTTGTATTATTGTTATTCACATTGTATTTTTTTTTTTAGAGACAGGGTCTTGCAATGTTGCCCAGGTTGGAGTTCTGTGGTGCAATTATAGACGATTGCAGCCTCAAACTCCTGGCCTCAAGTGATCTTCTTGCCCTGCCCAAAGGGTTGTGATTACAAGCGTGAGCCACTGAACCTGGCATAATAAACTTATAGAACCAAATTGATGTCTCTAAATGACTTTATTATAGAAAACAGTTTCAATCGTGGAATCTACAAAGAACTTAAACAAATTCACAAGAAAAAAACAACTCCATCAAAAAGTGGGCAAAGGATATAAACAGACACTTCTCAAAAGAAGACGTCTATGCAGTCAACAGACATATGAAAAAATGCTCATCATCACTGGTGAGAAATGCCAATCAAAACCACAATGAGATACCATCTCACGCCAGTTAAGACTGGCAATCACTGAAAAGTCGGGAAACAACAGATGTTGGAGAGGATGTGGAGAAATAGGAACACTTTTACACTGTTGGTGGGAGTATAAATTAGTCCAACCATTGTGGAAGACAGTGTGGCCATTCCTCAAGGATCTAGAACTAGAAATACGATTTGACCCAGCAATCTCATTACTAGGTATATACCCAAATGATTATAAATCATTCTACTATAAAGACATATGCACACGTATGTTTACTGCGGCACTATTCACAATAGCAAAGACTTGGAACCAACCCAAATGTCCATGAACAACAGACTGGATAAAGCAAATGTGGCACATATACACCATGGAATACCATGCAGCCAGAAAGAAGGATGAGTTCATGTCCTTTCAGGGACGTGGATGAAGCTGGAAGCCATCATTCTCAGCAAACTATCACAAAAACAGAAAACCAAACACTGCATGTTCTCACTCATAAGTGGGAGTTGAATAATGAGAACACATGGACACAGGGAGGGGAACATCACACACCAGCGCCTGTCGGGGGTGGGAGGCTAGGGGAAGGATAACATTAGGAGAAATACCTAATGTAGGTGATGGGTTGATGGGTGCAGCAAACCACCATGGCATGTGTATACCTATGGTAACAAACCTGCACGTTCTGCACATGTACCCCAGAACTTAAAAGTATAATTTAAAAACAAACAAACAAAACCCTGAGGTGTTGGTACAACTGCATACTCTCTTGGGACTTTAAAGGAGAATCTGTTCCTTGCTTTTTCTAGCTTTTACAAGCTTCTCACATTTCTTGGCTCATGGCTCCACGTCTCTCTATTCTACTTTTGTTGTTACATCCCCTTCTCTGACTCGGACCTTCCTGCCTCTTTCTTCTAAGGAGCCTCATGACCGCATTGGCCCACCTGGCCCCTCCCCACCAAAAAAAGATATCTAATAATAATAAAGAAATCTGCATGCAAAAATTTATTTTTTCTCACCTTAGAGGTAGTCTTTTTTTATAAAAAATAAAATGTCATTTGAATCAGATGTTTGAAATGGGATTCCTAATAAATGATTAGTTGTATGCTAATTGTGGCAGACCACTATTGCATCAAATGTAACAAAAGTTATTAAATTTGTCCCCAAAATGAATTCTAAATGATTGGATCCAAAATTATTAATACTCAATTGTTAAAACACAGTTATAGGAACCAAGCTCATCTTTTATTTGTATCATATGGAAGACTGTATCTAAATAATATAACTTTCATTCACATACAGTTTTAGAATGCACAAAACATGTTCACTCACATCTTTGCATTTATTGTATATCAGGCAGGTATGCTTAGGACATTTCAATTTTAAAGAGGAGGGGAGATTTTGTTTACATTAAGTGATATTGTTTTTCTGCCAATTGAGGATATTTCCCAACCTATAACTTCAAGTTATAACCTAAGAAAGGAATATATATAAGTACGTAAAACAGCATATATAAACGAAAATAAACAACAACAAATTACAAATTAGTCCAACAATATTTAGCACATAGCCTAACGTATGCTCTGACAAGTATGGGAACAAGCACTGGAGGCAATGGCAGCCAAAGCATATAAAAATGAAAGGATTTAGCAAAGTGATAAAAAATGAGAAGGCAATCTAGAGAAAAGGTATCACAAAAGAAAAGTATGAAGCTGAAGTGAGGCATAGCTTATGAAGAAAAAAATAAGCAAAGAACATGCGTAAGTATCAGAATGAGATTGGTGATTAACTCACAAATGAGTAAGAATGAAAAGACAGGGTCTCCTTTGTGTTTACAAGGTACACACCTGCATGGTAGCATCTATCACTTATTGTCGATTTGCCTGTCCATCTCCTCGGTTACAGGAAGAACTCCTACAGAGCAGGGCAGCAACTTGCGGAGTTCTACTCACGCTTTGCAGTGAACAGCTCATTTTAGCACTAGAGGGTTCTAACCACCTTCCCTGACAACTTCTCTTTAACAGCATGAGTAATTCCCTTCATGCCACTGTCTCTATCAGGCTTAGGTTTCCTTGTCTACAAAATGAGGAGGTTGAAAAGAATTCATATTCTAGGTCTAAAGTACTATGATAAACAGATCTTCTGGTTATGTAGAGTAAAGCAGTACATGTCTTGTAATTCCACGTTGCCCATAAAGACTTCCAGGTGCTCTGGGGCCTCAATTTGTCTGGCAAATGGAGAAAGTATTATTCTTTGGCATGTTTTCCTCGTATTGCTGTGCTTTTTTTTTTTTCTAATTTGGTTAGTCCCATATTAATAAGTAAATATATCCCAAATTTTCTACTACAATTTCACCCTAGCATGCAAATGTTTTTCTTGAATAATATAACAGTATTATTTCACAGAAGTAATAACTTATCAATAGTTGATTCATTAATTGTTTTGTGATCATCATGGGCAAAAAAAATATGTGCTCTCCCATGAATAAACTTATGACTTATTTTTTACCACCTTGTATTATAATTACACACAGATGTCTTTTTCCACCGCTTTGAAGGCAGAAACTATTTCAACATCAGTGGTGCCCAGGAAAACACTTTGGAGGTAATAGGTACTTGATGAGTATTTGTCAAATAAATAATGATTATGGTGATTATTAATGGAAAAGAAATTAGAATAATATGAAAGAAGCAAGAGTGCATGAATACTGCATATGGTAATGAAAATGTCTTGTCATATTATACAAAATAAATGCATTTTTTATGAAAATCCACCTAGAGTTGTTGTCTTCTTAGATCACGCCTTCCGTCATTATTAATATGTACAAAGAGGTTAAGTCTTAGTGTTAGAAATATTGAAGCCTTCCATTCAATCAAGCCTAACTCTGACAATCTTTTCGACGATGCATACAGGCTTAAGAAAAGCAGATAAAGTGTTCTCTTAGCATATAAAAAGAGCAACATAAATTAGAGCATGGATAATAAGGTAACAAACTGAAGAAAGTTTCTGTTTTTCACTACACTAACTTTAACAATTTATGGCAAACAAATCATACTACTCACCATCAACTAAATTCATTTAAAAACAAAGTTTATTTGTAAAAATAACCCCAAATAACTGAAGAGAAACGTTTAGCATTACCATTCTAAGTTGTTAAAAAGAGGATGGAGTTAATGGAACCCACAGGCTACTGATGTGGCAGTTTATCAAATGTAGCTGTAATGAAAGATAAATAATACAGGCAATTCACACTTCATGAAAGGATAAAAGTGTCAGTGTGTAGGTACCAGTTTTACTGCAGGCCATAATCAGCAAGTAAACGAAAGTGCAATGTCTAAAAAGTTTATAGTCTTCTATGAAGGCCTCGTCTTGTCAGGTATTGATTTAGGTTTTCAGACGACTTCACTGGTATTAAACAAATTGAGTGTTTGTGAACTTAGAGGACATGTTCTATTTTTCCCAACAAAAGTTGCCTCAAGCTTAATGTTAAGTTGCTTCCATCACTTAAATTTATGGGAAAAAAAAGAAAATGCTGAAATGATATCTTACACAATTATTTTCTTCTTAAATAAAGGGCAGTCCAAAGTGAAAGTTTCATACTCTCCACCTTCTCCACAAACATGTATTCCATACTTCTTAGAAAGCTGAAAAAGGAAAACACAAAAAACAAGAAAGAAGTTTGAAATTAGACAGCATAAATGCTATCTTATTTGGTCCTAAAAAATCCATACAAAAAACTTTAATTCCAAAATAGTTTGCAAGGTAAGGAAAACGAATTACATTTCTGCTTAAAACATGTTTAAAGTCATTTCAAAAATGTTATCATAAGGCATAGGATCTCTAAGAATGCCAAAACTCTTACAAAAAAATAACATTAAGATTATTGTAAATTTGGGGAATGACACTAGGTTTAGATTCAAAGCTAGATTCAGTCATAAAGTAGTAAACAAAAATGTATGCAGCCAAATTGGCCTCCCCCAACTCTTTGCCTTTAAGTGGAAGGAATAAAAAAGTTGTGTTTAGAGAATTTCTCAAGAATACAGAAGAAGCAATATAAGGCTTTTCCTTAGGCCCATGAACAAAAAGAAGTCACATATAGGTTTATTATGCTTGCAGTTATTATTAGGAAAGTTCCAAGGGCACTGAGAACTAGTAAAATTCCAAAGCTGCAGACAAGCCTTAAGAAGGTCCAACTCCAAGAAAGGTCGAGTAACTTACAAATTTGTCTAATCAAACCTGAAATTAAAACAAACAAACAAACAAAAGAAACCAAGCAGCAAAACAAAAAAACCTATGATTTGCATTAAATACAAGCCATACTATTTAAATAGTCTTGATATTGAGAGTAAAAAAATCTCCTATCTGTTTGGCATACGTCTGGCATCAGTGCTGGGGAGCACTCTCCTTTCTACTCTGTGCTAATGACGCTTTCTAACAACTTTCCACCAAACGAACCTTCTAGTTGCATCTTAATGACTTATGACCACTCTCTTTATGTGGGGAGTATACCTTATCATTTATGAGCATTCTTTCATTAGAAAATGTTTTACTGAAGTTCTACATAATTTCTGTAATCCACCACCAAGGAATAACTAGAGTTTTTAAACTAAATTTAGTATAGTTATTATCCCATAGAAGTGGTTCTCTTAGTCCCTAGTAAAATAATGTAAGCTGCTATGTTAAACCAAAATATTATCATTATAAAATACTCATATATCCCAGAGGTGACTTATTAAAATCTGGATGTACCCAGTGATATTTTCAATTCACATAAAATATTTCTATCACATTCATTTGTTCAGTCAGTTCTTCAACAAACACTTTTTGAACAATAATTATTAGCCAGGCCTTGCTAGATGATGAAGCCGCAAAAGTAAACAAGATAATGAGACAATCTCCTTAGTCTCTTGAAGCTTACCAAATATACTGTACTCTATATTTTAACATAACACACTAATGATGCAACAGCGACGTTGCCTCTAAAAATGAAAATGCACAATCTCTTCTCCCTTTCTATTACTGATTCACTAGTATTGACACATAGGTTCCAAGTCAAGAAATTGGGATAAAGAACCCAGTGGTTTCTATGGCTGAAGAACCAAGAAATAGTATGATGAAATCCTTACAATATCTTTTGTGGCCTCTCTAAACTCCACTAGCTTCAAGCTCTAACAGATGTAAGTACTCAGAGAAAAATTCATCTTTGTTGGATTACTTTTAGCCAGCTCGAAGGCCCTTTGATGTCTTGAGAGAACCTCCTCAAGAAGTAAAGCCTATGCCAGCCACTTTTTTTAATGAATCTGCTAAGACACAGCACCTTATGAAAAAGTAGAATCTTTGCAGCACAAAAGCATGATGTATGCATGTGACAGAAAGGTCAGTTTAGGTACGTGAAGCATCCAGATGTGCACATTCCAGAGACTTATTTATGGTGTACAACCTTTCTATTTACCTTTCTAAAAGTTAGTGTTACTAATATTTACACTGTTCATAGAAAACAGCAACTTTATTCCTAATCTATCTCAGGTCTGTCTCTGGCTTCGACTCAAAATTTGGATTATTGTATCCTAGCACTTAATCATTCCAAATGCAATTTTTGCCATTCTCTTTGATAAGTTTCTCTATCAGTATCATTGTAATGAAAAATACTAAGTCACTAACAGATTTTTGAAAAGTTTAATTTCTCAATGAATTTTCATGATTCATTTCATAATTTAAGTACATAAAATAACAAATTACATTGAAAAATACATAGTTTTCATGCCATCTATTCTTTAAGTTATTGTTATATGGATGTATTTAAAGCTATGACATTTGATAAGTTCATTAAGAAAAGTATAGAGAGAACTTTAAGGCCGAGGCCAGGAATTAGATGCTAATAGCCTTCAAAGTCATGACAATCAAAGATGTCTGCAGACATTGCCAGGTGTCATTGGTGGAAAAAAAAAAATTCCAGCTACTCAGGAGGCTGAGGCTGGAGAATCACTTGAACTTAGGAGGCGGAGGTTGCAGTGAGCCGAGATCACACCATTGCACTCCAGCCTGAGGGTCAAGAGTGAAACTCCGTCTCAAAAAAATAAAAATAAAAATAAAAAATCACCCCTCATTGAGAACCACCGGCATAGCTGTTACCACCCCTATACCTGCAGGGATGAACAGAAGGAACATCTACAAATGGGATCTAATTAAACTAGAGTGCTTCTGCATAGCAAAAGAAACTATCATCAGAGTGACCAGGTAACCTACAGAATGGGAGAAAATTTTTGCAATCTACCCATCTGACAAAGGGCAATATCCAGAATCTACAAGGAACTTAAACAAATTTACAAGAAAAAAACAACCCCACCAAAAAGGTGAAGAATATGAACAGACACTTCTCAAAAGAAGACATTTATGTGGCCAAGAAACATATGAAAAAAAGCTCATCATTGGTCATTAGAGAAATGCCAATCAAAACCACAATGAGATACCATCTCACATCAGTTAGATTGGCGATCATGAAAAAGTCAGGAAACAACAGATGTTGGAGAGGATGTGGAGAATTAGGAATGCTTTTACACTGTTGGTGGGAGTATAAATTAGTTCAACCATTGTGGAAGACAGTGTGGCGATTCCTTAAGGATCTAGAACTAGAAATACCACTTGACCCGGCAATCCCATTACTGGGTATATACCCAAAGGATTATAAATCATTCTACTATAAAGACACATGCATACGTATGTTTACTGCAGCACGTTCACAATAGCAAAGACTTGGAACCAACCCAAATGCCCATCAATAACAGACTGGATAAAGAAAATGTGGCACATATATACCAATGGAGTACTATGCAGCCCATAAAAAAAGGATGAGTTCATGCCTTTGCAGGGACGTGGATGAAGTTGGAAACCATCATTCTCAGTAAACCTAACACAAGGAACAGAAAACCAAACACTGCATCTTCCACTCATAAGTGAGATGAAACACATGATACAGGGAGGGCAACATCACACACCAGGGCCTGTCCGGGTCGGGGGTCTAGGGGAGGGATAGCATTAGGAGAAATACCTAATGTAGATAAGGGTTGATGGTTGCCACAACCACCATGGGCACGTGTATACCTATGTAAAAAACCTGCACATCCTCACATGTATCCCAGAACTTAAAGTAAATAATAAACAAAAAAAAAGGCAATACGATTTCTTTAAAAACTTATTTAATAATTTTCATTTGTATAAAAGTGTGTTTATTGTTTCACATATATCTAAATTGTGCTGTGTTCTCTTTTAGAGAAGGTGAAAATTGGGTTGCCATCTAATGTTAGGGTAAGCTTTGAAAACATTTGAACAGATGTGGCTACCTTGGGTGATTTCATGGTTTGTAAGAATGCCTTGAAGTCTCAGCATTTTAAAAATGAATTCCAAGTAAATTAAAAAGAAATTACTTACATGAATCTATTTTTTTTCTGGCACATTTATTTATATAGATAAATATTCGTATTCATAATACTTTCAATGGAATACTGTTGATTATTAACTGAATGGCTAAGAGTATCATGATTTCCCCAACATTGTAATAATCACAACTGTTGAATTTCTTATTAAATCAAACTTTTTCTTCTTTTAAATCAGTCTCATTTATCTGTTAGTCATTTTAAAATGGAAAAAAAGAAGCCAAACTCATACTTCTTACCTTCACCCTCACCGAGAGGAAACAATGAGGTTTACAAAAATCACAATTTCATTTTATAAATGGTATTCTCAACACAGAAGATAATTCATTCATAACACTTATTAAGGATGTATTTCTTGAATATCTACTACAGCTTTAGTAGTGTTTTAGGTACTAGGGATAAAAATGGGAGCAGCCATGTATCTTGCATAAAATAGCTTATTGTCTTGTACAGACAGAAAGTTAAATGAGCAATTACAATATAGGGTAGTGATTATTTTGGCAGGTGCATGAAATGCTGTGGCAGTATAAAGCAGGGTACCTAACTAAAAGGAACTTAAAAGGCTTCTCAAAGTAAACAAAACTTAAGCTGAGTTCTAAAGGATTAAGTTAACCCTGAAAGATGGAAGGGGGAATAGAGAAGGCAAGAGAGAAGGAACGAATATTCCAGAAGAAACTGTACATGTTAAATCCCAGAGCACATGGTAGGTACTAGAAATTTAAATGAGTCTGGCATAGCTGAGCATAACTGGATGAGTAATGGCAGTGAGACAAGGCTGAAAGGCTAGACAGAGGACAGGTCTTACACGGCTTCATAAGCCATGCTAAGTCATTATCCTAAGGTCAGAGATAACCCTTGGAGAGGTTTTAAGCAAAAAACTGACCTTACTGCATCTGTATTTTAGAAACATCATTTTGGATGAACGATGGAGAATGGGCCCAGATGTAAGTCTAGAAGCAAAAAGAACTGAGCAGTTGCTGGAGGAACCTAAGCAGGAGGTGAAGGTTTCCCAAGCTGGCAAGTAGCAGTGGGGATGGAGAGGAGAGAGTAGATATTTTGAGAGATTTTCTTCGGAGGCTGAAACTGTAGGAGAGTAAATGTAATATCTCTTCCTCTTCCATCACAACGTTCATGGTTGAGGACTTTATGACAAAAGATGAATTAGAAGAGAACAGCAGAAAAGCATACAAATTTATCTAATAAGTTTTATG